TACTGAATATTGTAGGCAATTTTGATACAATGGTAAGTATTTGGGTAGTTACACATATCTAAACATAGAAAATCCAGTAAAATTAGGGTATTAATAATTTTATAGGACCACCATCATATATAAAGTCCATCACTGATTAAAACATCTTTATGCAGTATGTGACTGTATTATATAAAGTGAAGAGCTCAATTCTCTAAAGTAATAATTGTACAAAATATATCTTCTTACTATAACAAATCTAGAAATAACTTTGTTTAATATTTAAACTACAAGAAAAAGCCCAACCACTGGAGATTGAAAAATGCAAATAGAGGATATTAAAAATGCAAATAGAAAATGATAACATTATATATCAAAATGTTTGGGATATGGGCAATACCAACATAGAAACAAGCAACAATATAAATGCTTTAATTGCAAGTTAATAATTACTTTCTAATTGCTCAGCCTCACTAGTCATCAAAGAAATGTAAATTAAAACAACACTGAGGTGACACTCCAGTCAGGATGGCCATCATCAATAACTCAAAAAATAACAGATGCTGGAGAGGATGTGGCAAAAAGAGAACACTTCTACACTGTTGGTGGGAGTGTAAACTAGTATAGCCTCTGTGGAAAACAGTGTAACGATTCCTAAAAGTTCTAAAAATCGACCTTCCATATTACCCTGCAATCCTCCTACTGGGAATATACCTGGAAGAACTTAAATAACGCTATAAAAAAGATACCTGCACATGTATGTTTATCACAGCATTGTTCACAATAGCAAGAATATGGAAACAACCATGCTGCCCATCAAAAGAGAACTGGATAAATACACAATGGAATATCACACAGTCATAAAGAAGAACAAAATCATGAACTTCACAGCAACCTAGATGGACTTAAAGTCTGTAATACTGAGTGATCTTTCACAGAAACAAAGAACTGAGTATCACATGTTCTCACTCAAAAGTGAACCTTGAACAACTATCATAATACTATAAGACAAGAATTGGCATGGGGGGGAGGTGGGATTGGCAGCAGTGGGAATCTGCCTGGGGGGGGGACACACCTCATCAACAAGGGTAACTGCATAATGAATATTTGTATACCTAACCCTGAATTGTGCCCCACATCTTTAAAATAAAAAATTTTAAAGTTTTTTCAAAAAGCTTTAATTAACAAAAAGCAGTAAACAAACTACTAAATGCAAGAAATATGAGAAATTCCATATTAAATAGTATTAGCAAGAAAATAACACAATGCTTAAATACAAAAATCCACATCCACATCTCCAACAATAAATAACTTATATTTTAAAAAAGCTATTATGAACAATGATATTGGTGTGTATGTATATATACACATATTTATGTATATATATATATGTGTGTAGGAAAATGTTTATAATATTTTATAAATTAAAAAAGAGCAGGTTAACAATAGCATATTGTATCAAGCCATTTTATAAGATATACGTGTATGTGTGTGTGTGTGTGTGTGTGTGTGTGTGTAAGCATAGAAATGAAATATTCAACTAATATTTATTAAATGCATATGATATACCAGGCACTGTTTAAGCATTTTACATATGTACTTTTTAATGATGCTCATAATAAACCTATGCAGTATTCTGTAATTTTTCCCACTTTATGGATGAGGAGATTTAAGATAAGGGAAATTAAATAATTTGCTCAAGGTCCCATAGCTATTAAGTGGCAGAGGCATGAAAGAATATAGATCAAAATGCTAACAGTGTTTATTTCTGAGTGATAGGATTATAAATGACTTTTTGTTTTCTTTGTTTTAAGCAATATGCATTTTCAGTTTTTCTACAATAGTTATGTATTATTTGTGAAGTAAAAAAATACAATTTTTTTACAGATGAAAGAAAAATATTTAATTTGGAAACAAAAATAAGTAAAAAGAAAAATATTTGAAGTATTTCTTTAAAAATAATAAAATAGATAAGTAACAATTTGAGAACAAAAGAGAAAAATTTAAATAAGCAAGATAAAAACTGACAAATGGAATAAAACAACTAAAATACATAGTTTAACTAAAGTATTATAAATAACATTATGATATATTTTTAAATGTCAATAAACTAAATAATTATCTGGAAATAAATAAAATTGACCCTAATAGATTTATAAAAACTTGAATTAAGATTTGGAAATGTTAAATATTTACCTTCCCCAAAAGGCTCTTGGCCTAGAGAGTTTTATATAAACTATTTCTTTTAAACATCTCATGTCATATAATCTACTCAAAGTTTATCTAATAAATATAGCAAAAATTTGATTCCAACACTTGACAACTTCAAAACAAGAAAGAAAACTACAATAGTGCCCCCTTATTCACGGGGAACACATTCCAAGACTCCCAGTAGATGCCCAAAACCTCGATAGTACTGAACCCTATATATACTATGTTTTTTTCTTTACATACAGACCTATGATAAAGCTTAATTTATAAATTAGACACATTAAGTGATTAACCACAATAACTAAAAATAAAACAGAACAATTGCAACAGTATATTTTCACAGAAGTTATGTGAATGTGCCCTTTTACTTGCTCACTGTTTTTCTTGCTCTTCTCTCTCTTTCTTGCTCTTTCTTGTTCTCTCTTTCAGAATATCTTATTGTACTATACTATGAATAACTGAAACCACAGAAAGCAAAACCATACACAAGGAGGGGACTACTGTAAACCAATCATGCTTATAAAGAGGATGTAGTATCCTATTTAAAATACTAATATAATTTAGTAAAAGTTCAAAAGAATGATTAACAATAACCCAGTCAGATGTATTCCTAAATACATGGATGGTTTACTATATCTATTAATAAAATATACTTCTATGTATGTCAGTAGGTAAAAAGAGAAAACATCGTATATAATTATTTAAACAGATGATGGGAAAGCTCTTCTACTCCTAGTTTTAAAAACTCCAAGGGAGATAGAAATAAAGGAATAGCTTTGTGGCTGGGCACAGTGGGTCACTTTGAGGGACCGAGGTGGGAGGATTGCTTGAGCCCGGGAGTTTGAGGCCAGCCTAGGCAACATAGCAAAACTGCATCTCTATAAAACAATTATTTTAAAAATTAGCTGGGTGTGGTGGTACATGTCTGCAGTCCTAGCTGCTCAATTCTGAAGACTGAGGCAGAAGGATCACCTAAGCCCAGGAGGTTGAGGTTGTGATGAGCCATGATCCTGCGTTGCACTCCAGCTTTGATGACAGAGTTGAGACTCTCTCTCAAAAAAAAAAGCTTTTTAATATGATAAAGAATAACACTCCAAAACAAATTATCAGCACTGATATACCAGACTGTCTAGTGACTAGAGATATTCCCATTAAAATCAAGAAGAAAACAAGAATGATTTTGAAATAGCTGTCAAATAAGTATTTTCACAAAACTACATTTTCTTTTTTTTTTTTTTTTTTTTGAATTG